CTCACTGCAGAGAGGTCACGTTGAATAGGCACTTCCTGCACCAAGGTAGGCACCTGCCATTGAGTTGTATGACATCCCTGCCCTACAGCCCATGTCCCCACTCCTGTTCACATATCAGCTGCAGAGTAAGAGAAAGACTGATGCATGGTTGTGAGACCACAAAGGCTGTGCTTCCCACTGGTCCCGGAGTTTAGGGATATCTCTAAGGACTTCATAGGTAGGACACAACTTTCCTTTGTCCAGACTGTTGGAAAGGGCAAAAGAATTATTTTTCTAATCTTGGAAATAAAATATTAGAAAATGCCTTCTTCAGAGCCAGCATTGTGGTTCAGCAAGTTAAGCCACTGCCTACAACATGGGCAGCCCGTGTGAGTGCTGGCTTGAGATCTAGCTGCTCCACTTCCAATTCTGCTTGTAATCCCTGGTGGAAACAGTAGAAAAGTGCCCAAATATTTGGGATCTCACTACCCACATGGGAGATCAGATAGAGTTCCAAGCTCCTGACTTCAGCTTGTCCCAGCCCTGGCTATTGCTACTATTTGGGGAGTAAACCAGTAGATTGAAGATCTCTCTCTCTCTCTCTCTCTCTCTCTCTCTCTCAATAACTCTGTCTTTCATACAATAAAATAAATCAAAGTGTCTTGGGCTTTATCCTGCCAGCATGCCCCATGGCCACCAAAGGGTGAAGTGATAGCGTGTTTTGGCCACAAGAACCACCAGAGGTCCCGGCGTGGTGGTCTTGTGGCTAAAGTCCTTGCCTTGAACACACTGGGGTGCTGATTCTAGTCCTGGCAGTCCCACTTCCCATCCAGCTCATTGCTTATGGCCTGAGAAAGCAGTCAAGGACAGCCCAAAGTCTTGGGAGCCTGCACCTGTGTGGGAGAACTGGAGGAAGTTTCTGGCTCCTGACTTTAGATTGGTTCAGTTCCAGCTGTTGCAATCATTTGGGGAGTGAATCATTGGACAGAAGATCTTCCTCTCTGTCTCTCCTCCTCTTTGTATATCTCACTTTGCAATAAAAATAATTTTTTTTTTTAGTTTTAAAGTACGATTTATTAGAAAAAGTTGAGAAAGGAGACTCCTGTCCTAGTGACAGGAGGGGGCGTTAAGATCCTCTGCCATAGTGGCAGGAGGAAAAGTAAAAAAATAAAAAAAAAAAAAAGAACCACCAGAACAATCTGGTGGGGGAATCTCTGTTCAGTGTACACAAATTACAAGCTTATAAAGGTTAAGGAAGGGAAGGACTGGGGGGCATCTCCCAACAGTCCCCCCAACCCAAAATGACACTGTAATTGACTAGAAGGTATGTCAATTCCAGTCATGTCAGAGGTCACCTTCTGTATGCAGGGCTAGAAGCTGTGTCTCAGGTCATGGGCAGGTAAGCTGTGAGCCATGCCCACCAGGTAGCAAGCGGAGATCGGGGGCCATCTCCCACAAAAAAAGAAGATACATCTTTTAACCCTTAATAATATCTCCCAGAGCTGACAGCATTGCATGCTTATCCCAGAGTGGATCACAACCAGGCACTTGAAAGGATGATCTTCATTTAATTGTATCACACCTCAACTGTCAACTGTCTACGTCCCACCATAGACAAGTCAAAAGCCTGGAATGATCCCCATATACAGCTGAGGAAACTGAGGGTCCAGGGTTGACTCACCACCTAAAGTCAAGACTTCCTAGCAATTAAGCATCTCTACAGACAGGTCCCATGGGACTTTTTAATATGTATTTTTATAGTAGTCTTTAAGATAAGCTCCTCACCTTTCCTGAAGCAATATATAAGATCTTTGCCATCTGGGTCTGGCACAATGGCTTGGATGGTTGGTTTTCTCCCTTCAAGTGCCAGGATCCCATATGGGTGGCTGCTACCCACATGACTTGAAATCCTGAGTTAACTTCATGCTAAGAGAGATCCTAGAAGATAGCAATAGTTCAAACAGTTGGGTCCCAGTCATGCTTGTGGGAGACATGGATTGCATGTCAGCTTTCACAGTAGCCCGGCCCAGGCATTGTGAGTATTTGGATAGTGACTCAGTATCTATCTCTTTATTAAAAAGAATTTAGAAGAGGTCTAGAAAAAAATGAAAAACACATAAATGGTTTTGCTCAGCAATCAGAAATTTTATATTGTCCCCTTTCCCCCTTAAATGTGGTTGCGTATCTCCATTCCACTTTCCTCTCAATCTCATCTCATTGTCACACATTTTTTTATGTCTAAGCCTTCTTGATCACCATCTCTGCAATCATATACATTGCAACTAAAAATGTTTCTCAGTTTCATGTAGCTATAAAGCTCTAGATGGGAAATTTTCTTCTGGTTTGATTAATCATTAAAATTATTACTAATGTGGGGCACTGGCATCATGGTACAGTTAAGCTATTTGTGTCAGTGGCATCCCAGTGTCAGAATGACAGTTCAAGCCCTAACTCCTCCATTTCTGATCCAGCTTCCTGCTATTGCACCTGGGAAAGCAGCAGATAATGGCCCAAGTGCCGGACCCCTGCACCCATGTGGGAGACCTGGATGAAGTTTTGGATTCTTGGCTTTAGCCTGGCCCTTACCTGGCTGTTGTGGCTGTTTGGAAAGTGAGCCAGCAGATGAAAAACCTTCTACCTCCTTCTCTGATGCTCTATCTTTCAAATAAGTAAACATGTAAAAAAAAGATTTATTACTGAGCCCCGTGTGGTGACTCAGTGGCTAAAGACACCTTACACACACTGGGATCCCATAAGGGTGCACATTCATGTTTCAACTGCTCTGCTTCCCATCCAGCTTCCTGATTGTGGGAAAGCAGTCGAGGATGGCCCAAAGCCTTGGGACCCTGCACTCACATGGGAGACCAGGGAGAAGCTCCTGACTCCTGGCTTTGGACTGGCTCAGCTCTGGCCGTTGCAGCCACTTGGGGGAGTAAACCTGCAGATAGAAGAACATTCTCTCTGTATTTCTCTGTCATTCTGCCTTTCCAATAAAATAAATCCTAAAAAATGGATTTACTTATTTTTTTTTTAAAGATTTATTTTTATTATTTTTTTATTGGAAAGGCGGATATACAGAGAGGAGAGACAGAGAGGAAGATCTTCTGTCCGATGATTCACTCCCCAAGTGAGCGCAACGGCCGATACTATGCCGATCCGAAGCCAGGAGCCTCTTCCGGGTCTCCCACAAGGGTGCAGGTTCCCAAAGCTTTGGGCCGTCCTCGACTGCCTTCCCGGGCCACAGGCAGGGAGCTGGAAGGGAAGCGGGGCTGGCCGGGATTAGAACCGGCGCCCATATGGGATCCCGGGCGTGCAAGGTGAGGACTTAACCACTTGCGCCACCGCGCCGGGCCCGGATTTACTTATTTTAAATAAACCAACTGATGGAAGTCTTTTTTTTCTCTCTGTATAAATTCTGCTTTTCAAATGAAAATAAATTTTAAAAATTAAAAATAAGCATTTGTCAAATGAGTGGAGCAGAGTTTGAGTCTCAAATACTTCATTACTTTTCTGCAATGTGACATTCAGCCACTCACATCAGAATTCCTTTGTTTATATGTTTGTTTAACAAATATTTGTTGCTGACTTCTAAGAACAAGACCACTGAGTTAGGCACTAGGGCAAAGTTGAAGACATGTCCCTGCCCTTAAGGAATGCAAATGTTTATTTCTGGATAATGTTACAAGAAGCGAGATGGAAAGTCAGGCAGCATGAGACCAGGTGGATGTGAAAGGCAACTGCGAGAGCTACAAGGCGACGCTCAAGATGCCCTGCTAGGCAAGCTTGTCATGAGTCTCGTCTGCCATATACAGGAGTGTGAACGTTAATGAACAAAACTCTAGGATACCATGGAAGAATTGGAAATTAGGAAGAGGCAAGGACACATCTACACTTCAGAAGTTCTAGCCAGGTAGCGAGGGGAGAGGGGTAGGCGGAGAACCGGTTACAGTTTTTAGTAGGGAGGTGACAAAGGGCAGAATAAGACAGCAGCCATAGGACAATAACCACTAAGTGGTGATTTTGAGAATAATCAGGAAAATAAAATAATTAGACATAGGGCAAGATGGAGGTATCAAAGATTAACGCTGAAGTAGCAGAGACAAAGGCTTAAGGTGTGGCACTAGGCATGGGATTGAGAAAAGAGCAACAGGTGTGAGTAGGAAGGTGGAGATGCTACTTGATTTGATAATTAGTTGTGAATGAGGCAGGTGAGCAAGGGGAAGTGAATTTTTCTAGATTCCCCTGAACAACAAGGTCCGTGAGTCTGAGAATGTGAGAGTGAAAGCAAGTTAAGCCTCCATTTGTTCATGTATACAATGACAACAGTGACAGGCAGCCTTTGGAGTTGTTAAGAGAATTAAATACACAGGCCAAGTGTAGGACAAAGAGTCGATGGCTGGTCAGTAAATATTAGTGTCTGATACTAACACAGGTGCCAAGTACCTAATCTTCATACAACCCTCTCGAGTAGGCACAATGATGATCTCCAATTTACTGATGTGAAAATGTAGCACTGATACATGAAGAAACTTGGCTAAAATCAATCATTTAGTGAGCAGCAGAGCTGGGTTCAACACCTGCACAGTCTGGCTCAGAGCCTTCATTAAAAAAAAAGGTTCTGCTTATTTATTTGTTTGAAAGGCAGAGTTACACACACACGCACACAGACAGAGTTCCATCTGCTGTTCATTTCCTAAATGTTTGCAGTAGCCCAGGCTGGGGCCAAGTTGGAACCAGGAATTCCGCCTGAGTCTCCAATGTGGTTGCAGGGGCCCGAGCAGTTGGGCCATCTTCCGTTAGCTTTCCCAGGCACATCACCAGGGAACTGGATTGGAAGCAGAGCACTCAGGACCAGAACTAGCACTCTGATATGGGATGCTGGTATCTCAGGCAGAGGATTCACCCACAACGCCACAATGCCAATCCTTCATGTCTTCATTTCTACCCATTCACTACACCTGGCTTTCTTTGGACTCTTGGGGAAAAAATATCACACAAGATGAATGGACTCAAGCCAGTAATTCATTCCCAGAGCAGTTTTTATTTGGAAACGTCCCTCCGCACTTAGTGGTGGCCCAGGAGGGCAGTTGCCCTCTGGCTTGCTTGTTCACTCTCTTTCCCAGCCCAGGTCCTCGGGTCCATGGGGCTACAAGCACAGGGCCAAATTCCCAAGTATCAATGGCCTGGATCACTTCTGTAGCCTGGGACTTGGGGCTGGTGTGAAAGATGAGCTAGGCTCCAGCCAACATTGTCATAAGGTTGGTTGGCAGGTCTAGGTCCCAGGGACCAAGACTCCAGCTCTGTCTCCTTGCTGGTACTGGTGTCACCCACAGGCCTGCTGTGGCCACGTCTTGGCAGGCAGGAGGACACTGGGACAAAGAAAGGACTGAGAGAAGCTAGTTTTCTGGAGTGGGATCCAGTTTGTCTTCTGCGGCAGCAGCGGCAGTGGCGGTGGGGATGGGAGACTCCTCGCCCCCGTTGAGGGACTTTGGCTGCTCACTGCTGGGGGAAGGAGTCCTGTGGCCTTGGGATCCCCAGCGGCTCAGGCGCTTTAGGGAGGAGTCACGACGGGCGAGCAGGGAGGGCTGGAAGCCCGTGAAGGAGCTGCTGGTGACGGGCCGCTTATCTGGCGGAGAGAAGGCAGGAGCATGAGGGGACCTGTGAGGGGCCTCTGTCCAGACCTTAGCTGGGCCTGGAGATCTGCAGGTGCCCTTCTCCTCTACCTTCCCCCTCCCGACTCCAGAGGGCGCTCCAGAGCTAATCCCGTCTCACCTCCAGGTTCGATGGGATGCATGAGCCGGTTCATCTGGACATTCCAGTGTTTCACGTTGGTGCTGGCCTGGCGCAACTTCCTCTGGGCAGCCTGTGGGGCAAGGCCAGCCGGGATGGGGATGGGGGAGGAGTGGGTCAGAAGCACCATCCGCAGCAGGCATCTTGATCTTTTCAGGTTCATGGGCGCCCTTGGCCAAGGTTACTGGTAACTCCCCCCAGGACAACCCATGCTAAGTTCACAAGTATGTACGTGGACAGAGCCTGCCCACTTTCAGGGAACTTATGGACACGTTGTGTGTGCAGATACATGGTCTTATCTAATTTACAAAGCAGAAATAAACAGCAAGCAAGTTCACCAGAGGTTTCTGTGACTCGCCCAGGAACCATGGCAGCACACCGCCCTGTCCTCCGTCACAGGGCCACGAGCAGTGGCTGGGGATGGGCAGTGGAGGCTGTGTGTGTGTGTGTGGGGGGGTGGATATTGAGGGAGGAGCATTTCCTTTTATGGATGTCTTTCTGAGTCTGTTCTACCATGATTGTGTAAGTCAAAGCAAAATGCAGTAGTTAAATGAGAACAAAACAGCAAAACTTCACCTTAAAAAAAGAACTCCATTTTTATGGAGATTCAGGCTCCAAGGAGTCTGGCAGTTAAAAGTACAGAGATAACAAAATTGAAGCTTGGGAGAGTAGCAGGTAAGAAAATAATTGCCCAGATTAATAACTGTGTTCACAAGCAGCAGCAACTATATGCCATCTACCAAATGTTACCTTGTTGACCCCTGACTGCAATGTTCATACCAACTTCCCTCCCCAGAGTAGAGGCTTGAACCTCAGGGAGGTTAGGCAATTTGCTGGAGGTCCCACAGCCAGGGGAGAGGACCTGCTAGCTCCCCCTGCACGCTCAGCTCCGCACTCACCTCCACGTCCTCGTCGGCCCTCTGCCGGTTCTGCCGCACCTCCTCCAGCTGCTGCTGAGCCTGCTGCAGGGAGCGGCTCTGCAGCGCCATCTCCTGCTGCAGCTCCTGCTTCTCCTGCTGCGCGCGCTCGATGTAGCGCTCCTGTTCCTCCTTCAGCTGCATCAGCTGCTTCAGCTTCTCCTCCTCCTCCTCCAGCAGCCTGGGTGGATGGGCGGGGAGGCAGTCACGGGGTGGTCGGCAGGCAGGGTGCTTAGGCAAGGGGGTGGTGGCTGGAAGCACCAGGTGGGAGTCCCCCAGGCCTACCTGGTCTGGGCGAGGCGCACCGCCTCCTCGTCCCGCCGGGCTTTCACCTCCAGCTGCAGGGCCTCCTGCAGTCGTTGCTGCATCTCCTCCAGCTCTTGGATGCGCTGCCTTTGGCGGGCAGCCTCCTCCTTCTTCAGCTCCATCTCGGCCTGCATGGAGGCCCGGGCCTGCAGGAGGATGGCAGAGAGCTTAGGCAGGTGGCCTCCAGCCCCGGGGGTTCCCAGGTTCTCCCCACTGGGCAACCTGAGGGAGAGAGCCTAGGGAGCTACTTCACGTGGGATTTCCTGATCTCACCCCCCTTTTTCAGAGTTTCCTAGGTCAGCTAATGTCAGTGAATAGATGCCACGTGGGGGCAAAGGGGCCCAAGTCATTACCTTCTTAGCATTAGCTTTAATAATATGAATATACATCCTAGCTAAATGATGTATTACACTACTATGCTAAACAAATATTATAGGTACCGCCTCCCAAGCACCCATCTTAATAATAATTATTATATATGCATATATAATTAGGGCTTGTGCTTGGGAGGCTACTGTAATTATTACCACTGAGATTTATTGAACACAAGTGTCTCCTCATTTAATCCGCCTACCTCTATGAACAAAGCTGTGTTAGCACCAACATTTTACCGCTGGGTAAATAAAGCAGAGACCCTAAGGAATTGCCTGAGGCCACTGAGTTCCTAAAAGACAGAGCTCAGATTGAATCCCCACATCTCTGACTCTGAACCCAGCTCTCCTCAGTGGTCCATGGAGCTGCCAGGGCACTGCTAGCCCGCCTTGATGTGCAACCTGCCTACCGCCACCCTATGGTCCCTCAACCACTATCAGTGTGAGCACAGCTCAAGTCTAGTCCAACCTTGGTTCAAGCCAATCCGCAATCAGCCACTCTTTCTCTCCAAGCCCAGTCTCTGCCAAGCCCAGGTCTCCCCAGAGACTCCACTTTATGCCCACCTGTTTACCGTCCCGCTCCACACATTCTCTATTAGTTCCTTCCCTGCTTCCTTAGCCACAGGTCCCACTCCTCCACACACCCACATCCCTCTTTCTCACCCCCCACTTTCTAAACCCTAGGCTCCTCCCTGCCGGGGGGGGGGGGCGGACCTGCTCCGCCTCCCGCAGCTGCCCTTCCAGCGCCAGCTGCAGCTCGCGGTGCTGGCTGCGGCGCCGCTCCTCCTCCTCCTGCAGCAGCCGCTCCGCCTGCCGCTGCGCCTCCTGCAGCAGCTCCAGTTCCTGCAGCTTCCGCTCCTTCTCCTCCTGCAGCTGCTGCAGACGCAACAGCTCCTCCTCCTTGGCCGCCCGGCGCCGCTCCCGCTGCTCCCGCTGCTCCCGCCGCTTCTGCTTCAGGTCCTTGTGCAGCGACGTCTTTCCCTCGGCCTGCAGCCGGATCGCCGTCTGGATGGCTGCGGGGTGAGGGCAGGTCATCAGCTGGCGCCCAGCCCCTCACCGTGGACCGTGGGAAGTTGGCTGGGTCCGGGCTGCTCCGCTAGCACTCACCGGCCGTCCATTCCTGGCGCTGGCGTGTGTCCGAGGCACTCATCTCATACGTGCGGGTGGCTGTCTTCACGCAGAACATGCAACGCTTCCCGTCGCGGTCCGCGAGCACCTGGGCAAGAGGACAGGCTGGCTTCACCGAATGCCCTGGGATGTCCCAGCTCAAGCCCTGGCCTACTCTGGCTTATCATCTTCCCTGGGGGCCTTGCCCCCCTCAACATAAATGGTTAGTTTAGGGCATACTTGTGCCTCCCGCCCAGTGGCCGCTCTCCGCCCCTCTCCGCACTCCCCCCCTCTCCGCGCTCCCCCACCCCGGGTCTGCAGTCTTGCTTGTTGAGAAAGCAGATGCCTTCATTCTATGGGTATTTTGGTAACATTTGTTCTTCTTTGAGGTTTTCATATGGTGGAAGATACCCCAAGGTGTGGGGAGGGGAATCTGCGTTGTTAGATAAAAATTAGGCATGATTACCTCTATTTATTTCATCCTGGACCCCTGGTCCAGCCCACACTGCCTGATAGTGGTGAGGCTGTGCTATTTGCTTGCACTCATGCTGTTTACAGCACCACCTGGCTCCTGACATGACAATGGATGACCAAGCTCCCATGGCTGTTAACAGTTTTGTGAAATGTCATACAGTGTTGGCCAGGCTGGGAGACATTCAGATCTCCCACAGCTGCTGGGGAGAATGTTATCTGGTGAAGCTGTTGAGGAAGTCTGGTAGTTCCCCAGAGAGCTGGGACCTCCCCTTGCTCAGCCCCCAGGAGCCAGCGATTCCGCATTGGGTGTGACCGATACATGCTACAACATCGATGTTGATGCTAAGTGAAAGACGCCAGACCCAAAAGGGTAAATGTAGTGTGAGGAGACTCACGTGAAATATCTGGAATTGGTAGACAAATTCTGCGAGAGTAGAGGTTAAGTGGGGGCTGGAGACCAGGGAATGAGGAGTTAATGGGTGCAGTGCTTCTGCTCTGAGGATGACACATTCGCAAACAGGCAGTGGGGATGTTTGCACAATAGCATGAATGTACGAATTGCCTTGAGGCTGTACAGTTCAAGTGGCAAAATTTTCATATTCTATATATAAAACCACTGCTTCAAATAGGGTTGTTTTAAGCCTCTAAAATAATACTGAGCAGGGCCAAGGGAGTGGGGAGGCGAAGGAGAGGAGTTTGAAAGAAGATATGGATAAAGGACAATGATCTTTGTAAACGGATGCTTAGCAGGATTTGACGTGCAGTGTGGACATGAGCCATCTCCTCTTTAGCAGAGATCTCTATCTTCAACACAAGTCACGTGATTCACTCATGCTTTGGTATTTGATTTGTGGCTTTGTCTCCCCCTTTTTAAAGTGCTTGCATGGATGAGAATGGCCTTGGGGTGCCTGGCTGGATTTCACTGTTTCACCCTAGTTCTGCCCCCATTTCACCCCCAGCTTCGATTCTCACCTCCACGCAGCAGTGTGCATCCAGGGGGATGCTCCCCCTCTTCTCTTTGCACTCTTCACTCCCGAAGTAGCAGAGGCAGCTGGGTTGCAGCAGGAACCAGCGCTCGGCCCAGTTCCTCCTCAGGTGCCCTCGCTTCCACAGGTAGCCCTGCCAGCCAGGGTTGAGTCAGACTTTCTGGGCCCCCCAATGGCTTCTTCACCACAGCCCCACCACCCCAGTGGCTCTCCCCTGGGTCCGTGCTGGTCTCACCTGCTTCAGGACATCCTGGATGAGTTCCTGGTAGACTTCATGGATGGCCATGCTTAGGGTGTCCCGACCCACACCCCGCAGGCAGCGGCCTGAGTTGAAGAGTTCTAGAAACTGCCAGACACTGAGCCCTCCTGTGGTCTGGGCCGCCTGGGCCTCCTGGGCCAGCAGTTCGTCCAGCTCCCCCAAGCCCACCTCCAGGCTCATGCTACTGAGCACCTTCTTCAGCAGGTACTCCACCTACAGGGGGAGAATGGAGGAAGAAGGCCTGGTGACTGCAGCAGGCAGTGTGCACAGCGTTGCGTTGACATGGGGGAAATATTCCTAGGGTCGGGACAGAGGGAACCAGGACAGGTGCATGGCAGTGGGCCAGACGACCAACTGCCTGTGGGGAGCAGACTGACAGATTTAGTAGGGAATCCAGGACCCCCCCCCCCCCAATTCTGGTGTCCTCTCCCCCTCCCTGTCCACCTTTTCCTCCTTTCTACGTTAAGGACAAGCTGAAGGCGGGATCTTGCAGTGGGGGCAGGGGGCGGGCAGACAGAGGCAGCACATCATAGAAAATATCAGGGGTGCGCAAGGGCCCTGCTCTCCAATACCCTTGGCTGGCAGATGACAAGACCAAGGTCCTGTGGCTGAAGAGACTTGCTCTTCATCCCCCCATAAGTTGGGAGCAGCCAGAGTTCCACCCCCAAGCTCTAGTCCTCAGCCCTGGGGAATCCTTCCCCTTGTGAGAAAGCAAGAGGACTGGGGGTTGGGGTAAGCAAAGTTGGGACAGGAAGCCTGTTACAGAAGAACAGGAAGTGGTGGTTGGGGTACATCCTGCTGAAACTCATTCTCTCTGCATGTTGTTGGCAAGAGCAAGTGGCCCTACAGCCTCTGGGAGGCCACCTTGCCCTGACTGGCAGGGATCTGAAAAGGGTGGCCATCCCCTGGCTTTCTGGGACTTCAAAGACAATGACCACAGGGAGGTGGGTGCGGGCCTGCTGGGTTTCCGATGGGGAATTTGTAGAGGGCACCAGATCCTGTCCCACCCCCATGAGGTGTTTTATCAGTGACTCTCAGTCTACCCACAAGCAGAAGCAAAAAAAAGGACATAAATTTCACTGCAGTTGGACACGCCAGAACCTCTTGTCCACACAGAGGCCCCTCCCACAAACACCTGCTCTGAAGACCTAAGATCAGTTTGACATCTGCCCAGCCACTAGGAGGACGAATGGGTCAGGAGAAAAGCTGAATATGCAGGGGAGGCAAGGCTGGAAGCATTTGTCCAGGCCTCTTCTCTTGGGAGGCTACATCTCACCCCAAGCTGAGTCTACCCTCGTTCTGCTAAAGGGAGACGGAGAAGGGACACAGGGAGCTAGGGCCAGACTTGGCACCCCACCTGGAACAGTCAGAGTTGCTTCTGTTCCAGGCAGGTCTCCTTCCTTTACAAATCGCCCCTTCTGGATGACTCCCAGGAATGGCCCAAAGCCTTGGGTTCCCGCACCCACGTGGGAGACCTGGATGAAGCTCCTGGCTCCTGGCTTTGGTTCAGCTCAGCTCTGGCTGTTGCGGCCATTTGGGGAGTGAATCAACAGACAGAACATCTTCTTCTCTGTCTCTCATCCTCTCTGCATATCTGACTTTGCAATAAAAATAAATAAATCTTAAAAATTTTTCTTCAGGTTGCTTTGCTCCCATGAGGGCTAGCAGAACCCTGACTGAAGTGTGACTTCAGCTCTCCTAGAAGGCACAGTCACTCTTGATTTGGGCAGTTCTAATATGTATGTATGTGCAGACACCTGGGTAGGGTGAACAGGTGTCAGCATGGACAGGTGCCTTCATCATTTCTGAGACAGGACCCTTACAGACTCAGTCCCCGGGACTGCCATCCTCACCTCATCAGGAACCATGATCAGAGGGTACTTGTCCTCAGACAGGAAGTTGAACAGGCACCAGAGGCGGAAGGCATCCTGATTGGAGAGTATGCTGTTCCCATTGCTGTCCACTTGGTAGTTCTTCTTGGCCGTCAGGGTCCAGCACAACTCATCAAAGTGCTCCTTGACGAAAGCTCCCTCCTCCACCTGCCACCAGATCCACATGTCAGCCAGCTGCCAACCAGCTGTCACCCAACCAGACCCCACCCCAGGCCACCTGGCTGAACCCAGAGTGCTGCTTTGAGGAATCTCTGGACCAATTAGCAGGTGCTTAGCGGGTTCCAATGACCTCCCCAATATACCCAAACCCACCAAGTTCCTCAGGGAAAAAAGCGGGGGAAACACAGGGGGAATGGACAGCCAAGCAGGACCTGGGAAGAAGATGACAGGTGGGACGGAGGGGAGACGGGGGTGCAGGTGCAGACAGGGTCAGGGCATGAGCAGGATGGAGGCTAGAATAGGAATGAAGGACATCAAGGAGGGGGCTGGGATGTAAAGAACAGGTCGGGAGAGTAGGGGTGGACAAAGTGGGCAGAAGTGGAAGTCTGTCAGAGGAAAAGTTGCAGTGGCAAGGTATCGGGGTGAAGGTTGGCTCAAGGAAGAGGGGACGGGCTGGAGGTAACCTCAGCTGGCTCCTACCTTGTCCAGGATGTACTTGTTGAGGTAGGGCATGTAGCCCTGGCTGGACACAGGGCCGTCATCGTCATCCCGGAAGTGCTCCTCCAGAGCCACAGGGTCATGGGGGATGTGCAGGACAGTGTACAGGTTGTGGGACAGCACCTGAGACAGAGCAGCCATTTGCCTTCCTGTACCACAAGCAAAGCCAGGCCAGAGGACAGATGCTCCCACATCCCTGCCTGTCCCCACCCCCAGCCTGGCTGAAGTCTCTGCAACCCTGATCGGTTCAGTGAGCAAAATCCACACAATTGCCATGTGCCAAGCACAAACAAAAGCTATTCAGTTAGCCTCCATAACAAGTATTCATAGCTCATTTACACAGGATAAGCCACCAGAGGCCTTGAAATATTTCTTATCCAAGGTCACAGCTGACAGAACTAGGATTTGCATCCAGGCAGCCACAGACTTAGCCATCCTATTAGGTCTGCAGACAAGGACACTGCCCCAAACTCCAGGATATTGCTATGGCGCAGCACGTTAAACCTCCATGCTATATGGGCATTGGTCCAGGTCCTTGGTGCTCCGCTTCTGTGATCCAGCTCTCTGCTAATGTGCCTGGATAAGCAGCAGAATTTGGCTTGAGTGTTTGGATGCCTCTACCCACGTGGGAGACCTAGATGAAGCTCTAGGCTCCAGGCTTCAACCTGATCCAACCCTGACCATTTCAGCCATTTGGGGTGTAAACCAGCAGATGAAAGATCTTCCTCTGTATTTCAAATCAGGCCATCTTCCTGCTGATTTCCCAAGCACAAAAGCAGGGAACTTAATAGGAAGTGGAGTTGCTGGGACTTAAACCAGTGCCCGTACTGGATGTTGGAGTCACCAGTAACAGCTCATCCCATTATGCCACAACACTAGCCCCAGTGCCGTGTGTGTTTGTTTTTTGAGAGCTTGGGATTCACCTCCACAAGCTTTCTAAGACTAAGAGCTCTCCATGCTGCTGAACTGTCTACAGAGACGTAATTACCACCCCAGGACAGAAGTCCCAAACCCAGCTGTTTTCATCAGACTCAGTGTTTAGGCTACAGCGTGCCCACACCCAGGCATGTCCACTCTGGAAGAGCCCCTCTAAAGACAGGAAAGAGCCTAAACAAGGTTCAGGAACAATGGCCCATGGGAAGTGGCGGCCAGGGCTGAGATAGGATCATGGTCATGACCTTGTGCAGAAAAGGGTAGTCTGTTGAACAGATGCATGATATTAGAACAAAGGGGTTGGGCCCAGCGGCATGGCCTAGTGGCTAAAGTCCTCACCTAGAACGCCCGGGATCCCATATGGCGCCAATTCTAATCCTGGCAGCTCCACTTCCCATCCAGCTCCCTGCTTGTGGCCTGGGAAAGCAGTCGAAGACGGCCCAAAGCTTTGGGACCCTGCACCCACGTGGGAGACCAGGAAGAAGTTTCTGGCTCCTGGCTTTGGATCGGCATGGCATTGGCCGTTGCGCTCACTTGGGGAGTGAACCATCCTCCTCTCTGTATATCTGACTTTATAAATAAATAAATCTTTAAAAAAAAAAAAAGAACAAAGGGGTTGAAGCTTTCAACAAGACCATGTGGTTAAAAAACATATAGGTCAGTTGGCCTTGGAGTCATTCTGTAAGGGCAGCGTGAATGATTAGGGATGCACTAGCCACTCCGCGAGGGACTTTCAGTAGCTCCCTTCTGGTCTCTTGATACACAGATGTTCCCATTTCTGCTTTTCAGTTGAAGATGGCAGTGCTTTGGAGAATCTACCAGTAAATGGCAGAGCTGCCGTTGGGAGCAGGTGCATCTGGCTCCAGAGGATAGCTGGCTGGCTCCTGCTCAGAGCAGTGGCTTAAACTTCTCTCTCCCCAACTGGCCCATGAACCCTGGAGACAAGATTCATCTCCATAGCACCTCTGTCCTCTTCTGTCCCCCCACCCCAAATGCCATCCATCAGTACTGGATGCCAGGGCTTCCTGTGCCACCAGCAGTTCAACTGGCCCTGTCTCAGAGATGTGTGTGTGTGTGTGTGTGTGTACAGCAGTGTTATCCAAGGTGCTTAGTTCTCCTTGGTGAAACAGGGAGGTGGAGAGCCTGGCCCTGGGGCCAGTGCTTCTGTTTTTTGTCTGGGTAGCCATCACTGGAATTTGGCTATGTGAGTCAATAAGTACCCTTTCCCTTATGCCAATTGAGTCTGTGTTTCATCACTTGTATCCAGAAAAGTCCGGGCTCCTGCTCTAAGGGGTTGCCACTGGCTCAATTCCTAGCTTCAACTGACTCAGCAGGATTCTAATGCCAGATATCCACTGGCCACCACTGAAGTGACAAGCGTTATCCCAAGAGCTTTATTTATTCCCTTCTGCCTCCTAGCCTCTTCAAATTATGCATATCCTTTTCTCCCTGCAAGCCTCTTCCAGACGTGCTTAAGGAAAACTCACACACTGCCCCAGCTGTGTGACTACACCCCAGAGTAAGGAGGGACCATGAAAGGCCATGACCTTTACTGCTGAGTTGTAAGATCTTGGATAAATACCTTCACCTTTCTGAACTTCAGTTTTATTGTCAATAAAATGGGCTAAGAGCTGCCACAGGGAAGAGCTGGGAGGATGGTGTGAGATGATATGTTCGACCTGCTGGACTCATGCGTGTACAGAGCAATGGTTAGTTCCTTCCCTGGATGGAGAAGAATGCTCTTAACTCAGCAAATCAACTCAGATGCCAAAGACAGAGGGTAAAAGGCACGGAGGAGGTTGTGGGTGAGGATTAGGGGGATCTGATGTCCCACTGGCATGGTGTGAATTGAGGGTCTTTATGGAGAGTGAGCATTTACCAAAAGTAAAATTGGATATGACCTTTGCCACAGCATCCAACCTACAGGTGCCCAAGGGAACAGTTACACGTCCAAGAACATTCACTGAAATATTGCTTATAGTAAGAATTACAGGAGCTGGCATTGGGGTACAGTGGATCAAACTGTTGCTTGTAATGTTATGTATCAAAGTACTGGTTCAAGTCCCAGCTGCTCTGCTTCTATTTCAGCTCCCCACCAATGTGTTTAGGAAAACAGTGGGTAATGGCCCAAGGACTTGGCCCTTGACACCTATGTGGGAGATCTAGATGGAGTTTTATGCTCCTGGTCCAGCCCTAACAAACGCAGCCATTTGGGGGAGTGAATCAGAGGATGGAAGATCTTACTCTCATGTTTCTCCCTCTCTGTGTCATTTTGCCTTTCAAACAAATAACATATAATCTTAGAAAAGAAGAAATATATAATATAATAGTATAATAGCCTGCCTTATGGGCACTAGGATCTTACACGGGTGCTGATTTGTGTCCTGGCTGCTCTGGTTCCCATCTGGCTCCTTGCTCATGGCCTGGGAAAGCAGTCAAGGACGGCCCAAAGCCCTGGTGCCCTGCACCTGCCTAGAGAACCCAGGGGAGGCTCCTGGCTCCTGGCTCCTGGCTTCAGAGCAGCTCAGTCCAGTCTTTGCTGCCACGTGGGGAGTAAGCAGCAGATAGAGGATCTTTATCTTTGCTTTTCTTTCTCTCTGTAGGTCTTTCTTTCCAATAAAGATAAATACATCTTGGAAAAAAAAATAGAAAAGGAAGCAGGCTCTGTGGCACAGTAGGCAAAGCTTCCACTTGTGGTTCTGGTACCCCATAAGAGCACTGATTTGAGACTTGGCTGTTCCACTTCCAATCCAGCTCCCTGCTTATTGCCTGGGAAAATAGCAGACAATGGCCCAAGTTCTTGGATCCTTGAGCCCATGTGGGAGACCCAGAGGAAGCTCCTGTCTCCTGGCTTTGGGTCAGCTCAGCTCCAGCCATTACGGTCATCGGTAATCTGGGGAGTGAACCAGCAGATGAAAGTTCTCTCCTTCTCTCTGTAAATCTGCCTTCCCAATAAAGATAAATAAATCTTAAAAACAATAAACAACATAGAATTGCAAACAACCCAAGGCTCCATCAATAGTGGGTGGGCAGGCCCAACTCAGTAGCTTAGTGGCTAGATGCCTCACCTTGCATCTGCCGGGATCCCATATGGATACCAATTTGTGTCCACTGTTCCACTTCCCATTCAGCTCCGTTTGTGGCCTGGGAAGGCAGCTGAGGATGGCCCAAAGTCTTGGGACCCTGCACCCACATGGGAGACCCAGAGGAAGCTCCTGGTTCCTGGCTGCAGATATGCGAAGCCCTGGCCATTGTGGCTGCTCGGGGAGTGAACCAGCGGACAGAAGATATCTCTCTGGCTCTCTTCTCTGTAAATCTGACTGTCCGATAAAAATACATACATCTTAAAAAAAAAATAGTGGCTGGGCATACCATGACAAGTACCCTTATGTAAGGTTGGACTTCTGGCAATTGTGTGCTCATCAGATGACTTAATTCAGGACTGGTACTGTATGCAGTGGGTTAAGTTGCTGCCTCTAACACTGGCACTTCTTGGGTTCTGACGTGAATGCTGTATGTTCCATTTCCCATCCAGTTCCCAACTAACATGCCTGAGAGGGCAGCAGAAGATGGACCAAGTGTCTGGACCCCGTATACACTTGGGAACCTAGATGAAGCTACTGACTTCTGCTTTCAGCCTAGCCCATCCCTGGCCATTGCAACCAACTGGGGAGTGAACCAGCAGATGGAAATTTTTTTCTTTCTCTCTTTTCCCCCTCCACACTCCCCCCCCACCCATTCTCTCTGTAACACTTTCAAATAAAATCAATAAATATTTTAAAAAAATTCTCCCAAGACCTTAATCTTGTCTGCCAGGATGATAATCAGGCCTTCTTCAAAGGATGTGTTGAGTCAAGAGCTTACTAGCAAAGTGCTCAGATGTGAACTACCTGTACTATTTATAATTATATGTGTAGACAAGGAAAGATAAGATGCTATATCCTCATGTGAAAAAAGCAAGCTACAGAGTGAATGTTTGTGATCTACATATGTGTGCAAAAATTAGTGTGAGGAATATGAAACTGCGACTAGTAGGTCTAAATGATCAAATGTCAGAAATTCATTTGGTTTAACCTAACCTGTTTATTTGTCCATAGAAAAGAATCCAGAAGACTCAGCAAACTTCCCAGTGATTATCTCCCCACACCCTAGAGAGAGCCATAGAGCTCAGGGGATAACTATGATCTTAA